TATTCAGGATTTCGTGAACGGTTTTAGTTTTGAAATATAACTCCAACAATATAATAGAATTAGAAACTTGAACTTTACCAACCACTGCACCGTGCGTACTCATTGCATCAAAATTATTAATCCATTTTGAGCTTAGTATAAGACTGAAAATATTGATACTTTGGTTTTTGTAAGTCAGTCATAGTATTTACTATTATTAAGAGCTCAACATTTAATACACCATACTCATAATATTTAATGAGAGATGTGAAAAGATCAAAATCGTAATTCACAATTTTTACATAACCAAATAAAATTATCGTGTTTTGTGTGACTTATCGGAAAGTCATGCGCGTTTATTGGGGCGCAAACTGTCGATCTGGAGAGTGTAATATCGCGGCTCTATCACGCGATGACAGCTGAGATTACGTGCGACTTGACGGCCGGCAACGATGATGCGGCGGCGCGGTGGTCGGGATTAGAAATGTCAATATCTAATTTTATTGTAGACAAATTGCTTATCGCGCTCTATCGGAAATTTTTCACGCAGCGTATTTTATACTGCAGTGAGCTATCTATAGTATTTATAATCAATGATAATACTATGTAATAAACTATAAATAATAATATGGTAAAGATTGTTATCTTATTATTGGAATAATTGAATACGAGTTTACCGCTTACGTAGGGTTTTCCATCATCATATCATAATATAATATAATATAATAATAATATGTTATTTTAAATAACTCAGTACTATTGTTATTATTACTTATATCTTCGGGTACGTGTGCTGTGGACTGACGGACTGTGTAGCGTGTACACAAATTATACCTACACGATACGTCTTTCGCGTCCGTTGTGAGACTGTTGTGTTTTAATTTTTAAATTAAATTTGATTGTACGATTGAACGATGGATATTAACAAAAGTATAACTACAAAAGGAAGCTGCTAAAGAGCGCGAAAAAAAAAGAATAAAGTTAAATGTAGTGGCAAAATCGTATCAAAATATACAACACTTTTTTATGCCAATAAATAAAATTAATGAACACGATATTGACGATCCTGCTTCTGTATCAAACTTGATCTTGGTAAGTATAATAATACATAGACTATTTATTTTCTTATAATCTGTAGGATATAGTACATATATATAGCTTAGCTATTAAATTATAAATTAAAGTATTAAATGCTCTACTCTTGCATTCTGCCCTAGTACCCTGCTAAGCAAAAGTGTTATTACTTGAAAAAAATTATTATTTGTATATTGTATGCGATAAAAAATTTTAAAATCTGCATTTTAATTTTTAAAAGATGCACATAAAAATAGAAACAAAAATATAATTACAAAAAAAAATATTTAATATTTTGTTTTAAGAAGCATAACCGTGAAAATCAAATAAATGATGAATGCGCTAATACAAGTCAAGAAAATGAGCCAAATTTAAAAGTTGTCACCTCATCTAATATTCAAGTAATAGAATGTGAAAATACAAGCCAAGAAAATGACATGACAAATTTAGAAGTTATTACTTCATCTGATGCTCAAGTTACAGGTATGTAAATATTTACAGGTATTATTATTATTTATCATTAGTCATTACAAGGGTTAGGATTTATATGCTCTAAAAAAACTATTAAATATTCCCTAAAAAATATGCTGATATGTTGTAAAAATTACTTAAATATGCTCCAAAAAAAGTTGGTATATGCATTTATAAAAAAAATTACGTAAAAACGTTTATTCAAAAAATTAGTGGTTAAAAAATTTGTAAAGGGCTAAATATTTAAATTATAAGTAAAATAATAAAATAGTATTTATAAATTATAAGGATATATTAAATTTTTGATGGTTTTGATAGTCGATTTTGTTCTTTTTCATTCATTTTCTGTAACAAAATTGAATAAATTATTTACTTTAGATATGTATTTTATTTTATTTTAAAATTAATTTTTTCAATTGACTTACCATTAAAATGTGAATTGCATTGGACAATCAACGTTTTTTTCAAGTTTTCGAAGGTAAATCTTCGTCGATTGTCAGCTAAAACAGTTTTATACGTCGAAAAACTTCTTTCGACGTCCACTGAAGACACGGGAGCATACTTGAAATATGGAATATCTGTCACTATTATATTTTGGTCCATATTGGGAATTGATTCATGTGTACCGGAAATAATATCTTTTATATTTTTCAATAATCCATATGCAGTATTTTTCTTGAGAATTGTGTTTAATTTATTATTGATTAATTTTCCTATACTCCTGGGTGTCTCAGATATTTTTTTTACAATTTTGTCAAAAGACGAAATAGAATCGGCCAATAAGACGTCTTGTTTTTCCAAAAACATAATTTTATTTGGGATAAAACTAAAATGAGTTTTTATAAAAATTAAATTACCTTCTAATGTTGGTTCTTGTATAAGTTTTTTTACGTGTTCAATGGATACTGCATCTTCTTCATTTAACATATTTATAACTTCGCAAAATGCTTTGTAATTGTCACAGTAATATGTCACAGCTTCTAGCCATGTACCCCATCTAGTAATTATGGGTTGAGGAGGTAATGGTATTCCAGGAGCATTATTTTTAAAAATCAATACCCTCGAAGGTGCTTTTAAAAATATTTTTTTCCATTTGAAATCAATTAATCAATTTTTGGGAAATTTTTTCGAATTTCTTGCGCAAACTCTATGCACTGCATGAGCGAGACATGTGATATGAATCATTTTTGTGTATAAAGCTGACAATGCTTTTCCCGCTTTTACCATGTACGGCGCTGCATCAGAAACAAATAGCAGTACATTATCTCGTTTTATTCCTTCTGGCCATAATAAAAAAAGTGTTACACCAAATAATTTACAGATTGTTTTATGGTTAGTTTGATCAAGAACTTCCGAATTAAAAAGAAAAGTTTTGCCTGGTGCATCAATTTCTAATGTACCAATAATAACGTTTGCCACATAACGACCTTCTACATCAGTAGTTTCATCAATGCAAATCCAGATATTTTTATTATTTACGTACCTTTTAATACTTTCGATTTTTTTTTTATAAATATCCGTGACGTAATTTTTTCTTAATGTTGATTCATTTGGGATATCTTTGTTAGTATATTTTATTAAAAATTCAGACAAAAATTTATTATTTAATTTGCTTAATGGAATATTTGCAGATAACATCATTTTACACAGATCTTCGTTAAAAACTGAATCGTTTCCACAAATTGCATTTGACACTAAATTTTGTTTAGTTTTAATTGCATTTGTTTTTAAACGATTTACTGCGCGTAAATGTTTGGCGGTTTTTAAATGTTGATTCACCTTGAATCTTTTTTGCGAGTTTACTCGTATGTCACATAATTTACAAAAAAGAATCTGGTTATCGGTAGAAAAAACACCCTCGTTTTCGGAAACGTATATTTTTAAACATGCAGAATTAGATGCTGGAACTTTAGGCATATTGATAAAATTTATAAAATTAATAGAAAAAATACACAAGACGCGTTGGTCGACTAACTCGTTATACCCGAACCACAGTACTAATAGACAAAAACATTTTAAACATTTAGTTCAATAAAATACGATTTATCTTATCGATTTAATTTATTGATTCCACTCACACAGTCACGCCATAATTTGTAGTGTTACTTAACGGTCCTAACAATGAGCGATAGATTATTTAGACATAAATAACCAGATAAACACCAGGGCCGGATTTAGGAATGTGGGGGCCCTGGACCCATCCTTAGAAGTAGATATTTTTTTCGATTACATAATAATATATTTAATAACCAAAATTCCAAATAACTAGAATTTTGGTTAGGAAAAAACAATGATTTGTTGTAATGAAACAATAAAGATAATAAATAAGCAAATTGCATTTATTAGATTATAATATGTACTATCAATCATCATAATACAGTCGACTCTCGGTAACTCGAAGTTCAAGGGGGAAAAAAAAAAATTCGACTTACTAAAAATTTCGAGTTATCAAAAACTTTTAAAAAGTATGTTTATTTTTAAATTAAGTATTATACATTAAAAAAATTAAAAAAATGTTTTCTTACATTCCTACTTACATATTATTATCATTTTTTAAAAAATTGGTGTAAAGTTAATTGTTTTTGTTTATTTAAAACATTGTTCTCAATTCTATTTTCTAAAGTACCTAGTGGTTTAAATAAATCTTCCATACCTTCATTGCCTTCAATATATTTACGTAATGTTTCTAATGCAAGTTTCGCTTCTTTATTTGTAATGGTGGATTGTATTTGTTGGTCTTCAATTTCTTCTTCGTTATCTTCGTCTAATATATCGGAGATAATATCGTTCTCAGTCCATTCTCCACAAATCTCCAAATTTTCATCGACATTGACGTATGACGTAAAAGTTTCATTAAGATTTAATTGATCCCATTCATCGTTATTATCATCAGAAGGTTCATCTAGAATATTTTCAGTCGAAGTTCTAAAACCTGATTTTGTAAAACAGTTTACGATCGTTTCTTTTTTTACGTGTCGCCATGCTTTATCGCATAGCCGTATAGCATCCAATATGTTTATTACAATTTGATTGGTATCATTTATAGCCGATACAATTTTTTTTACCATTTCTTTTCTGTAAAATATTTTAAAATTATTTATAATACCTTGGTCTAATGGTTGTAATACAGACGTAGTATTAGGAGGTAAAAACTGCACTTTAATAGCATTAAAAGTCGAGGTTAAATTGTGTGCAGTACAATTATCAATAAAAAGTAAGATTTTTCTTTTTTCGGAGACCATTTTTTTTATCTAATTTCATTAACCACAAATTAAAAATTTCAGACGTCATCCAGGATTTTTTGTTTGCATAATAATCTAATGGTAATGATTTTATTTGTTTAAAACATCGTGGTTTTTTCGACTTACCAATCAGAAGTGGTCTTAATTTTTCTGTGCCCGACATATTTGCCCCTAACAGAAGTGTTACTCTTTCTTTACTATGTTTTCCACCTGAACAAGATTGGCCTTTAAATATGAATGTTTTGTCAGGTAAACATTTGAAAAATAATCCTGTTTCATCTACATTAAAAATATCGTCTGGTGAATAATTTTCGATGAGTTTCGGTAAATTATTTATCCATACGGAACATTTTTGTACATCTACAGCGCCACTTTCACCACAAACTTGTTTAAATACAACGCTATTTCTGATTTTCCAATTTGTTAACCATCCACTGCTAGCTTTAAAATATTCATGCCCTAACTTATGTCCAAACTCTTCAGCTTTTTCTCGTAGAATAGGTCCATTAATTGGAATTTTTCTGTCAAGACATTGTTGAAACCATTTTAATAAACATGATTCTATGTCAGAGTATTCTCCTAGTTTCATTTTTTTTCTAGTTGCCGAGTTTTCGTTAAAGTTTTTTAAAATTACATCTTTATTTTTTATTATTGTAGATAATGTACTCGCCGGAATTCCAAAATCTTTGGCTATGTCTTGTTTTTTTTTTTTTCGCCTTTTTCAATAATTTTAAGCAAGTTCACTTTTTCTGCAAGTGATAATGTTGTTAATTTTCTTTTTTGAGCCATAATAACCACTGATTAACACTGTCACACTCACACGATAAACGATTAACCGAACGAACAGACGGCAGAACTAAAACTGATTGTATCAAAGTTATCAAGAGTTAAATTACGGTCGGGTTTTACGAAAAATAATCGCCTTGATAAACTATTTTTAGTACTAAATTTGGATAAGAAAATTCGAGATATCAAAAACTTGTCAAATTAATTTTCGAGTTAACAAGATTATTTAAACATTAAGTGTTATTGTTATTTGAAGGGGAATTTTATTTATTCGAGATATCAAGAATTTCGAGTTATCGAGGTTCGAGTTACCGAGAGTCGACTGTATTTGCACGAACTGCCGACGTCTACGTAATCGATAACGCGCCCGTA